GACGAGTACGTTTACCTGGGACAAATAGTCCGACTAGGTAAGTCCAACTTCAACCGAGAGGTCAATCGACGGATTCAACTCGGCTGGGCAGCTTTCGGGAAATTACGGCACATCTTCTCGTCAGGTATACCTCAAAACCTGAAAACTGAGTTGCACAACCAGTGCGTGTTACCAGTGATGATCTACGGAACCAAGACGTGGTCCTTCACTGCTGGCCTATGGTATGAGATATGGAGAGGACTATGCTCGGAGTTTCTCTACGTGATTAACTTATAAATGAGGATATCCGCAGTAGAACCAGAGTGACCGACATAGCCCAACGGATTAGTAAGCTGAAGTGGCAAGTTGGGGAAAAAAGGTTCTCGAGTGGCAGCCTCGTACCGGTAGGCGTGGTGTAGGGCGACCCCCCTAGAGTAGATGGAGTAACGACCTGGTAAGACATGCAGGAAGTCGATGGATGCAGGTGGTTTAGGACCGTGCTTTGTGGCATACCTTGGGGGAGGCCTATGTTCAGCAGTGGACTTGTGAAGGGCTGTAATGATGATGATACAGGCAGGACAAAGTCCGCGTAATTTTTTAGTAAAGTATATTTTCAAAGGAAAAAATAAGTATTTGGCATATTAAGGGCTATTTTATCATAAAGAATACCGGTTTTCTTTGAACATAAGTTATAATTTTATTTTCCAATTTGCAGCGTAGCGATTTCAACACTTTTATCAAGTTTTCACATCTGCTAGCAGATTTAAGTGGAGCGAGTGTCATTGTTTGATAATTGGATTTGCGAATTTCGGAATGTTTCAGAGACTCGATGTTCAGCGTCTAATATCTGTATAATCAACGATTTCATTTTGCTGTGAGAACAGCTAACTTAGATCTAGCTAAAAACAATAGCTTTATTTTGATCTAACGACCAGTCCTGGATTTACTATGTTAGCCTCTATTATTGTGTCGTTATCAAGATTTAAAATAATCTGCAAAGACAATTTTATAAAGTTTTCCTTTTATCGAAAAAAATACACTTTTTACTACTAGACTAGATCATTCTTAGCATTGCACTAAATCTGTAAGTCAAGTTATAATACAATTGGTTCAGTCGACAGGCAGACCACTGATATACAGGCAGTAATAAAAATTTTAAAAGTATCTTGATGTCTGAATGGATAATTAATAAAATAAAGGAAATATTTTTTACAGTTCAATAAATTGCAGTTATTTCGATATAAGAGACAGACACTTTAAATTTATTATAAATAGAGAGGTAAAACACAATAATTATCGGACTAGCGTATTAAGGTTTTCACAGTTATTTACTTACATTTTATGGGGGGATCCAAATTAGTTTGCGGATTTTTATTTTTATAGAAGAGGTGGCAAGCGAGCACATGGCTCACCAAAAGGAAAGTGATTACCACCGCCCATGAACATATGCAACACCAGGGGAATTACAGTTGCGTTGCCGGCCTTTTAAAAAGAAATAGGCTCTTTTCTTTAAGGTCTCTAAGTTGTATCGGTTCGGAAAATATTTGGTGGCAGTCGATTTCACAAGGTAGTTGTGCGAGGAAGAAAACTTATTTTAAATGGCACGGTGGTTGATCGCCAGTTATACAGATGGTATGGATGGTATCGCGAGCTTGGTCCCGATGTGCAATGGGGACAATGTGTGAAATTAGTCTGAATAATTTCTCAAAACACTCCTCGTGGATGATGCAATAAACTATGCAAAGAGATGAAACATCTTTTCGCAATGCCAGTGAGTCAAGCCGATCGGAAAGAGCTCAGTCGCCGACGATTAAAAATACTCTTCGTTAGATGCGATCAAATGAAAGGAGCTGGAACTGGGAGCCCCGACCCCCAGAGATGAGACCAGTATTCCATGCAGCAGAACTTGCACCTTGTGAAGTTGCAGGTGATGAGCTGGCATGTAATACTATCCTGCTCTGCTGATAGCTAAGATTTTTAGAATCCAATTTGGCCTTCTCTTCCAAGTGACCATGAAACTGCACGTCACTCGATATGACGGCGCTAAGGAATCCGATACTGGCAGAGGTAATAAGGGGAGTGCCTTGAAATTAAAGAGATACGACGAAAGGGTTCTTTTTAGCGGTAAACTCTCAAACTTGTGGCTTCTGTGGATTAAAATGGACTAGATTTAGTCGCCCCTTGTCTGAAACTTAGAACTTAACGACGAACGAACTTAACGAAGACAGAAAATGGTTCATGGTGAGGTGTGGCCAAGGAAGTTAATTTTGAAATCGTAGAGGACTTAATGGTAGGAGAAAAAGTAGCACCATCTAAAATTGTAATTAGGATCATTAAGAAGAAAATAAATTTTATATTTTTTTCAGGTTGCTTAGTGCTTACCAATACCAATAGATTTGAGAAAATTCTATATATCTGCCATCGAAGAGTTTAAGATATTGTCATGGATATAGCAACGTTTCGCTGCCCTTACCATGTGGTTTTCACTTTATACAAATTTGACAAAACTTCGTGCCCAGATGGTGTCCGGCTTAGATTCAGATTTTATTTAAATTTTGGTTAAAGTTTAAAGTAAATTATTTTAATTCAAACTAATACATGGTGCAAAAATCTGGAAGCAGACAATTCACATTAGTTAATTACGAATTGGGGAGAGCAGATTATGAATAAATCAAGCTACGTGTCCGCATAATCAGGATTGTGGTGAGTAGGAGCATTGGAAAATTAGATAAGTTAACTGAGACCAGGATATTAAACAGCTCAGACCTTTGAGCAAAAGTTTTGAGAAGGTCAGCATTAAAGTCGCACATGATAATGTGATGTAGGTAGTCCACACTGAAAGATTCCAAGACGGTTTCTAAGCTAGAGAAATATTATACAGAAGGCGGACAGTAAACGTCACACAGAATGAATCGTTCAGCCTGAATTTCCAGTAATAAATATTCGCAGAGGCAGAATATTGTGAGGGTGACGAAGCAATAACTGAAAAAGAAAGGCTAGAAAGAAGGCATATAGCAACAGCACCTCCACACTTACCAATTCTGTCACTTCTGATTAAGACAAACCCGGGTAAGCTGTAGGAGAGAGTGAAAGTGAATGCTTAAGCCAACTTTCCGAAATGAGAATGGCATGGACAGTTGAAGAAAAAGAGGAGAAAGTCTCTAAAGGATCAGAATAATGTAAGAGAATGCTCTGTGCATTTATATGGCAGACTAAGAACGAAGAGTCAAAAATTACAAAAGAGTTATCTAGCAAATTACGCAAAGATTGGGGTTCATCAAAAGAATCTAAGCTTTGGAAGAATCGCAAGCAGAATAGAATGAATCATCATCAGTCAACATACCATGAAATAAATTAGAAGAGCATAAAATATGTACCTACTTTAAAATACTAAATTACGATCTATATTAAGTAAATAATTAAATTAAAATATATAAAAATACAAAATACTAAAGCAAAAAGAAAATAGTGACAAAAACACAAAAAATAAATATTTCTTCTATTTATCAATCCCTCCGGCTAACATTAGCAGAACACATGTTATCAAGTTCAATTTGATTGTATATTATAATGACAATTGTTTTTCAACAAAAGTTACACAATTTAAATCTTACATAAAACAATTATTTGCACTTTTTGTATTATAAACCTACCCACCATAATCCTAAAAATAGCAACCCTAAATAAAAAAGTGTACGTTATAAACAATAAAAACTAAACAAATACTGGAGCAAAAACAAACACAAATTAATAACAAATGCTAAGCAGATTAATAAACAAACGTGATTTTACAGTCGTAATAGACAAAAAAAACGATGTTTAATCCTTAAAGTATATAATTAGAAAATAATATTATTATAACCAGTGTATAGCAAAAAATACTAGCTATCACTTAGCACGGGAAGATCTCTTCGCTCTCAAATGTTACCCCGAGGGAGTCGTGGCCACAGGGGAGTTGGCTTAAATTTCGGGGTTTTCTCAGCAGATACAGGTTGCTTAATATCAGTATCAGCGAGGGTATAAAGATTTTTCTTTCAAGCAATATGATGGCGCATTCCATCCTGTGCCTTAAAATAGGTATTGTTTTGTCCGTTTTGTCCACTAATTGCGTGCCCAGATATTTGCGAGCAAATAGGAAGAGAGACTGTCGTTGATGAAATAAAAATTCGGATAAAACAACAGATGTGCCCTTAAAACACACCTTTTTGCTCCAAACAGTCGTTCTAAGTAAAGGAGCAGAGAAGTGTACTAATATGGGGCAAAACTTGGCTTATGTGCTATTACCAAGACGGTGACATACTTTTAGAGTATCACTAGTAAATTAAGAAGCCCAAGTTTATTTGCGAAAAGACCAACAAAATAATCAGAGAGGCGCCCAGTAGTATCCTCTGGTACACCATGAAACAAAAGATATTTCCTACGGAGTCTCGTGTCAATTATTTCAATAGATTTTGCGCATTCGGTTATAGGTTGACTAAGTAAACTCATTATGCTTCAGACTTGAGCTTTGAACTCCTGAAATTCCTCTTGAAGACGTTAAGTGGAGGTGCTTACCTGTTGTTTTAGTGGTTTGAATAGGGATTCAAAATGGGGTAATTTCTTCAAGAAGTTAGCTTCATTGGTTAGCTGATTTTCCAAAATATTGTCGTAGTTTTTTTTACATACTGTATAGTTTGTCATATTCATTACTTGTTTTAGCAGGAGCTTTGGAATTATCATTTAGGTGAAGGTTTTCTGAAAATTTTTAAACCTTTTGCACGTCATTACTTGTGCTATTTCATCGACTCTAAAAATGGGTCACTAGACCAGTATAGATCTATAGATGGTAAAACAAGAATACCTATCAAAATAAGAATTCCTAAAAAAGCATCAATATCGGGCTTTCTAACCGGTTCCCAATGCAAAGTCGACTTCTGAGAGGCATACAAATTACTTCCCAATCTGATCAATTACTTCTTCAGAAAAAAACCTCAAAAAATAAGCCATTGGAGAAGTCCTGCTTGGAAAGAAAACTTTAGTTTTCAAGGTAACTTCATCATATTTATCTGCATTTGGCCTGTCCAGCCACATACTACCTTTTTTTCAATCATTTTCATTCTTATCACGGGAGAGTCAGTGGAAGATTCCGAAATAGTTCGAGATATTTGTGATGGTCGGACTGGTCGCAATATTTCTTCACCTTTACTATCGTTATATTCAAAATTATGTACTCCTATATTAATATTAATATTTTCTCTTATTTCACCATCATTAGAAGAAAGGAAACTCACAGGACTGCGTCTTGATGGTCCAGGCGTTGGACTTCCTTGATTTTGAATAATATTGGGATCCTCCGTCAACGCACGTATACCTAAACTGATTACTAGGCTATCGTCGCATTCGTACTCATCTTCCGATTCGTCTGGATTATCAGGAAGGCCAAACATTTGCTCCAGCTCATTATCAATAACGTCATCATTTAGGTATGCCTGAAATACAAATAGGCAATGGCATTTATATTGCCACCAAAAAACAGTGAACGGGTAGTGGCATAGATACTGCCACCAATAAAAATTGAAATAAAATAAGTTACGAAACGTTCAGTGCCAAAATCGCACGCAAAACAATAGCACAATACATACAAAATAATAATCAATAAATTATCTTACCATTTTAGCCAAAATCTAAGAAGATCTAACTATATAAAATTTTTCGTCAGATAAACACCACCTTCACACAATTATGGCTGGCTTTGCACAATTATGCCGAAACCCGGGAAGGACAGGCGTAGAGCTGCCAGCTACAGGCCGATTACGCTATTACCGCACATAGCTAAACTGTTTGAAAGATTGCTGCTAAGACGTCTCCGTCCGTGCATCCAACTTCGGGCGGAGCAGCACGGATTCAGGAGGGGTCACTCTACAGTCACACAGCTGACTAGAGTGCTGCACCTGCTTGCGGCAGAGTACAATCGTGGCCGCATATCGTTGGGCGTCTTTCTCGATATCGAGAAGGCGTTCGACCAGGTGTGGCACTCAGGATTACTATATAAGTTACACGAACAGACCAGTGTCCCCCCTGCTATGTTGCGGTTAATGGCGTCTTTCCTGGAAGACAGGAAGTTCTACGTCTGCGTAGAGGACGCCGAGTCCGCAACAAGAACCATCAGTGCCGGCGTCCCACAGGGCAGTTGTCTGTCTCCAGTCCTGTACGCGGCTTACACGAATGACATCCCGACATTGGCAGGCAGGTTGCAAGAATGGGAGGACGACGTTGAGCTGGCGCTATACGCGGACGATAGTGCCTATTTCACCTCGTCCAGAAGAGCCCATATAGCCACTGCCAAAATGCAGCGTCTGCTGGACCTGTTGCCATCATGGCTGAACGAGTGGAGGATGGTCGTCAACGTTGGTAAGACGACCGCTCTGCTCACTCGTCGCCTCAGAAACTTACCACCACCACTAACTCTCGACGGCCAGAAGACGTACGAGAAGGCCGTGAAATACCTCGGGTGCCGGATCGACCGGGCGCTGCGCATGACTGCGCACGTCGACTTCGTCGTCCGCAAAGCCAGATGTGCGCGGGCGATGCTTCGTCCGGTCCTGGCATCCAAGCTGCCCATAAAAACCAAGCTCCGGATATACAAGATGTATATCCGAACTATTACCACCTACGCTGCTCCGGCCTGGTTACGCGCTTCTGAGCGACACTCAGAGGCGGCGACTACAGGCTCAGCAGAACCTGTCATTAAGGACGATTGTCGGAGCAGGTCGTTACGTCCGGAATGACGTCATAGCGGCCGATCTGAAAGTCGAGACCATCACCGACTTCGTGGCCCGGTTAGCGCGCGGCATGTTTGACCGTGCCGATAACGGGCCACATGAACACCTGAACGGCTTTGCGCCGTTGCACACCCGGCCACCGGACGGGCGACCTCTTCCAAGAGAACTCCTCTCTATATGTGATTAGAGAGTCGAGTAACAACCCACAATGCCGCAGAAAGGCCAACTTAGACTTAAATAGATTACCTCTATAGATTACCTCCCTTTCCCGTAGTCGGTGAACTACGGAAAGAAATTTCTTATCCGGCTACATTATAAATGTAGTATAGCCATGCCAAGATAGGCAAAAACTGACTGCCCCATAGTTATGGGGTATGAGGATATCCGGGCAATGGGGTATACCCCGAGGCCCGATACCTGCACGTACCTAGGTGCGTGTAGACGACATCAACTTAACTTATGGCTGGCTTTGATTTGATGGCTTTGAAGTATCTGTCAATGGGACACCCATTTATGAAGTTGTAGCAGCCAGACTAATCAACCATAAACGGGAATAAATAATAAATACTCTGCTGCTACCATAACGCGGAAGGCGAGGATAAAAAAAAACATTTATTTCCTAACTATCCTTGGCTACTGAGATACTGCGGACTGCATATAGATAATTTGACGTTCTTATAAAGAAACAAGAAGCAGCCGCAAAAATCATTCAGCGCCACATCGACTTCACACGCGCTATCGTCACGTATCCGTCGACCAATGGTGAGCCGTTTCTTCTACGCCGCAGTTCGCTTCTTCTCGCCGTTCCGGAGCTGTATTCCACGCCGCCGCCGCTCACCGACTACGCGCGCGCACCGATCTGCATGTCTTTTATAGCCCGGTCCAGCGACGTAGCTTCGTGAACAAGAAAACAAGTCTCACACCGGGAAACGGAACGTAGATAATAGTTGTATATTTTGAATAATTTTCATTGGTCATAATATAAGAATTATAATTGGCTAGATAAAATAAAAATTGTTACATCAATCGACTATCATAAGATCGCCGCAGCACAAGACAGAGATAGTGACAACATAAAACTCTATCGAAGCAAGGTAACTTTTCCATCAAGCAAGTTACAATGCCAATAACGCATCTACCTATATACTGTGAAGCCTCAACGACAACCATGCGACCATACCTACCAGAAGAATGTCGTCGCGAAGTCTTCAATGCACTGCACAACATCAGTCATCCAGGTGTTAGAACAACAAGAAAACTCATCACTGAAAAATTCTTTTGGCCTTCAATGCAAGTTGATGTTGGCAACTGGGCGAAGCAATGCATTCAATGCCAGAAATGCAAAGTACAAAGGCATACATCAAGTAGCCTAGCTACATTTCCACCCACGAAGAGATTCGAACACCTGCACGTTGACATCATTGGACCATTACCTACTTCACCGCAAGGACATTGTTATCTCGTAACAATGATCGACAGAACAACAAGATGGCCAGAAGCAATACCTACCGATGATACTTCAGCTGAATCCGTCGCGAAGATAATTTATGAAAATTGGATTACTCGTTTCGGATCACCTAAAACCATCACAACGGATCAAGGAAGAAACTTCGAAAGCAACGTATTCCTCAAACTTCTTCAAACTATGGGAATACAGAAGACACGCAACGTGCAGGTGTTGGACTTACTTTGTGGCAACCCAAGTGACAAGTTGTAAAATAATAGCTCCCAACAATTTAGTAAAATTAAATATTGTAATTTGATAATATCCACCTCAATTTTTAGTTACAGTTGTTAAATAATACTTAATTGTGTTGGTAAAATAAGTAAAAGTCATAAGTATTTTAATTATATAGTGTATTGTGTTTCAACTAAAAGTGACAGCTGTAGGTAACGAACATCGTTTGAACTTTCTGTAAGTTATTGTAATTTTCTTGTTATCCCTTTAATATTTTAAGATTTATCTTTTAAATTAGTGCAGTTTCGGATTTCAATTTGAATTATTTACCTGATAATTTAATTTGAGATCTGTAAGTAGACCCATAGATCTAGATATTAGCTTACTCTGTTTCTTCGGTTTTCTTTCTTTGTTTTCTTTTGCTATTTACACATAATAGTAAAATGAATACACGCAACGCCAAAACGCGCCAAATGGAGAACCAACTTCAAATGGCGCTTCTAGAACTTAAGGCGTCAAAAGAGCAGTGTGAGCTGTTGCTTAAAGAAAGGGATGACAACGAAAAGGAAATAAAAAATATAATTGCCAAAAATAGTCAACTAAAAAGTGATATGGTTAAGTTGCATAAAGACTACACAAATGTTTTAAAAGAAAGGGATCAGCTTCAGGAAACAGTCGATGAGTTTGACCGATGCAGCAAAGAATATGAGGAATCCCTCAGATTAATTGCTGCATTGCAGTTGCAGTTAAGTGAGGCTAATGAGCAGATATTGCAATTAAAACAATACTTAGATGAATTAAAAGTGTCCCAAACTCAAAGTCTGTTCAATGAGCTCATAGAATGTAAATCATCAAAAACATTGCATCCCTCCACAACAATCGATTTGACTGGTGATGATTTTGTCACATCTAGAACAGCAGAAAGGATTACATGCAGTAGAAGAAAATTAAAGAAATACATAAAAATTAATAAATATGTTAGGAAAGTACAAAAGTTAATTAAAACAAAAATTAATACAAAAAATTATATAAATATATGTAAGGAAAAGCATGTATTAATTAATAAACTTAAATTATATGCAATTGAGGTGGAAAATATGAAAAACTGTTATGAGACTGAAATAGAGTGTCTCAATTCAGAAGTTTTGTCGCTTAAAAACTCCTTAGAAATTATCTCAAATAAATATGCATCGGCTCAGGTTGAGATAAAAGAACACATATTGGCCATGAATGATCTGGTAAAGTCATGTAAATACAATGAGGAGCGCTTTGACTCCTTAATAAAACATCAGAGTGAGAATCAACGCTCCATACCATGTTCATCGGGGACAATATGTGTAAATAGCAATGACTCCTTATTTTCACCAACACTCTATGACAGTGCCATAACACAGAATAAAAACTTAAAAACTAGTTTAAATATTAAAAAACATAAAGTTATTATGTATTGTGATGACATAGGTAAAAATTTGGGCATGATGTTAAATAACCATTTGAAAGGACAATTGATTAGTAATTATTGTATGCCTGGAGCATCGTTTAGTCATATAATGAATAAAGTTTTAACCAGTAAGTTTTCTCCTAATAGCACATTAATAATTCTTGTTGGGAGAAGAGGCAATGTAAACAAAAATCAATTATTAAAATATATTGATTACTGATATTGATATTGATATATTTAAATGTACATAAAATTATCTTGTTTACATTGCCTTACATACAGGGTTGGCCACAAGAGAATAAAATAAGATATGATTTAAATTTATTAATGAATAATTTATCATGTAACAATAATTTAAATTTGACATTTAATTGTAACAATTATACCAATAGAATTAATTTATTAGATATTAATAATTTAATTAAGAAATTTTTGACTACAGATAGGTATTACCTATCCAAATATTATTTAAGACAGATAGCAAATGTGCTATCTTATTATTTATATATTAACTCAGCCAAGGACTTGGCTACCCAGACATCTGCTCCTATTGAGCAGCATAATGATTTGACATGTAATTTGGAATCCGTTCCAAGTAATTTAAATTAGAAAATGAGACAATAGAGGTAATCTCTAGCAGTTATAATAATTTAAATAATTTAGAATGTAGCTTACAAATCCTTAATAGTTGCAATTGTATAACTCCACAAAATGATACTAAAAATTGTTTACACCTGGTGCATCAGAATATACAAGGCATGATAGGTAAAG